TTGCAAATATCGCAATGTACACTGAAATTTTTCGCATTTTTCCCGTTTCCCATTTTCGTGAGAATATTTTCAGAAGCGTTTCACATACAGAAAAAGGCATTATTGCAGTAATTGCTCAACGGCAATACTCTCGAACAACATTTCTAGGTCACCGAAGCCAAAGGTGCGCAATAGTCTATTCCGCTACTTCAGCAGTTGGTGAAATAGCGGAATAGCAGCTGTTCCGCCAATTCACTAGCAAGCGAAGTAACAGAATAGCTAAGCTACTGCCCACTTCTGACTCAAGCAAGCAATATATTAGTTGAATATCTCATTTGCAATGGACGTATCGGAACTTAATAACACTTACCATGAGCCGATACCACCACAACCCTCTTTATCTGCGTTCACACATCTTTCTGGTTTACCGTGAATACCAATACGTGTCTCCAGATGCACGTAGTATTTTGAATTTCCGTCAAGACCCGGTGGGAATACCTAAAAGTTGAACCACATATTGTAAACTTCTTCGAAGAGAAAATTTCGCACATTCAAACCAAACCATTTACTTGGACAAGGATCAGACTTGTCATCAGTAAAATTTTGAAATTTTGTTTATTTGNCTGAATACAAAAAAATATTTGTTATTCAAAATATAAGATTCAACCGGAAAAATCTGATGTGTTTTGAGAAAAAACAAGAGTTGTGTCTCGTCATATATTGTGCAAGCTTATTTTGTTCAAATTCAACGATCCTTTTTTGAGAGATGTGTCGAGATGAAATCAACAAAGCGATTATTATCGCGACAGTGGCCAAAAACCCGATCAACAAACGAACCAACCTCAACTTTGCCACCGCTCATTCGGAAGCATTTATGTCCTTGTTCATTCTTTTCCTCGGTGAATTTCACGCCGGCTGATTTGTAGCTTGGGAATTTGATTCGAAGATTCGCCTTGCTAGGACCTGAATTCCTTGATTACTGTTTCTGTTTCACGATAGCAAATGAGGAAAAACAAAGAAATCTGAACCGATTATAAACTTTGTGAGATGCCATAACTATGTTCAATATACTTGTCTCGTTAAAATTTTGCAATTATGTTTATAATTTGAGCGTCAATCAACGCTGAAATATGCACATGAATTGGAAGTTAAGCCTCTTCGCAAGATCAGTGCAGATCAGATGGAGTCATGCGTTTGAAGGCGATACGAGAAGCACTGGAATGTGCTTCGAATGATCTGGATTCCGCCAGACTCAACTATTATTCAGATGTAAATGAATGCTGCTCCAATGAAACTCATCAGTCGACAAGGACTGACGAATACTTGATGTCAGGGGCAAT